TTATTAACTCCTTTTTTACTACTTTCTGTGTTATTTTTATCTATGATTAAATTATCAACGTTTAGTTTAAGTAATTTTATTTTTATACCCTCCCCCCCACTTTCTAGTTTAAAAGCTCCTCCAGTCTTTCTACCATTTTCCCTCCCAGGAATGCTGCACCTTTCCCATTAAGATGCAGCCCGTCTCGGCTGAAGAGCCGATAGCCGACTGCGAAGTCAGCCCAGTTCTCCAGGAAACCAAATCCTTCCATCTGACACCAGCTCCGGAGCCACTTGTTAAGCTCCCTCAACTCGCGCTGTCTGTCCGGAGTGGCTCTTGGCACCGGCAGTATCTCTGAGAAAACTACCGTGGAGGTCCTTTCCTTCATCCTAGCACCTAGGTCTCTGAACTCCTGTTTAAGGACACTCCAATTTCCTCCTATTTTGTCATTGGTGCCGATGTGCACCATGACAACGGGGTCGTGCCCAACCCCATCTAGTAATCTGTCAATTCGTTCCGCAATGTGTCGAACACGAGCCCCCGGCAGGCAGATATTAATACTAAAGCTGAGGCTCCTAGACCTGAATGGCATTCGGGATCCGAATTTCCGAATACCATTTGGGAGCTCCTGAAAGCATTATGGGTCTGGTAGCTATATTAAGGCTGAGGCTTCCAGACCCGAATGGCATTCTGGAGCTCTCGAATGCTATTCGGAAATTCGGACTACATTCGGGTCTTGGAGCATCAGTTTTAGTATTACGGTATGTATTAGTATTCTGTAATACGAACGGATATTTGTAATGGCAACATTGTGACCCATCTATACATAAAACGAAACCTGAGGCTCCCAGACCTAAATGGCATTCGGGAGCTCCTGAAAGCAATTCGAAAATTCGGATTCAGACCCATTCGGGTCCCATTCGATTTGGATTCAGACCCATTCGGTTAATGCATAGGTCCCAGACCCATGCATTAAACTGAAAAACACATCTGATTGGCCAGAAAAGTTACACGTCCGATTCAATTTAGTTTTTGAGCGAAATTTGGACGGGATTCGAAATTGGGAAACGGAAATTCATATTGAGACGCGTTCAGATGCATTGGAATTCGGCAATTCGAATGCGTCCGAACATCCAAATTTAAAAAAATTTGCCCAAATTTTGATTCGGAACGAAACGATTTGCACATGTCTAGTTTCCATATTTCACCTATTTTGAATTCTTTCGGCATATGTTTTGCCTGTTTCTACATTTTGTTCCCTCTCTATAAAAGTTGTATTCTGCAAATAAATGTATTATTGCTCTAATTTTTAGATTCTGTTTGGAAGAAGCAGTTCTGTGTGTTTAGTTGGCCAAGGGGCAAACATGGAAGATTGGCTTGGCTCCACCAAAAGCTTAAAGGGTGAGATGCACCCCTTGGGACTTGTAATGAAAATGAGACACGTAGGCTCTTTTTTAGGAAGGCTCTGCCTTGCTTTATCCAGGTTTGCTGGAGAATATTTGGTTTTCTTTTAGGCCACCTCACCACAACCTGGTTATACTTTCCTGTCATATATTACTGAAATTGGCCACATTTACAAAGCTGCAAATTTTACAGAAATACTGCATGGTTCGCTCTTCCCTATGAAGGTGGAGAACATGAATATTTGAAATATGAGCCTCTACTTTTTTCACTAAGATAGCCAACTTTGATCCGGCTCACCAGTTTCGTTTTATAAAACGTTGACTCCTTTCCCCAAAATTCTCCTGTTTTGTTTGCCTGCTTATAAAAAAAATACCCTCCCACTCCATCCATCCCTAGATCATCACATCTTATCCCAAATACTTAGCTGCAATGGTGGTCACATGGCAGATATTTCCCTCTTGACCTGTGCAATGTGGAAGGGGCCTTTTTGAAGTGCCCATGTCTATTCTTCAAGCTGTGGACACCACCTACTGGCTGCCAAAATTGTCCATTACATGGGTCCACAGAGGATCCTATAGTCTTAAAATATATCCAAATACAAATCTTTTTGTTTTTAGTTTCCATAGAGTAGGAAATGGTTATAATCCCTGTCTGGTTCATCCCCAGCTACATCCCCATTGGATTAATTTACCTTCACTTTCTGTCTTCTAGATCCAAATAGAAGTGAGAGGAAATCTCTCAAAAGTGAATTCTCTAGAAAAAGTGTCCCCATTGGAAGTTTTCCCTTTTTTTGGTTGAAACTCACAATTTAAAATTGTACCTCACCTTTGGTTACATTTTCTGCACTATGCTTCTTGGGCAGGCCGTGTGGCTATCCTGGATCATTTTTTAAAAATCTCAGCTTGAAGGCCTGCCATGTCTTGCACTGACAATTATTTATTTGCACTTCTTATGCACGAATGCGCACTTGAGGGTGTGGGTGCCTTTGGGGCCGACCCTGATGTTATGGGAGAGGTTCTGTGGCCTCCATGGGTTTTCTTTACCTCTCCCCACTTGGTCTTTCTTCGGGAGAGTCCTCACCAAGTACTTGGTGGACTAGTTTCGACAGGTCCCTAAGGATCAAGGTCTGCATGGCCTCAGCTAGGTGGACCAGGCCTA